CTTCAAAAATCAAAAATGTTTAAATTACATTTGCTTTTGAAATAATAGTCAGTTCTTTGAATTGCATATGTAAACAAAATAGTTTTTTAAATTGGCTTCCACTTACTTAGAGCCGGCAAAATAGCATATTTTCTATTTTTCCAGCGCTGGCAACAAATTCACTATATCATGTATATTGGCGGTGCCGGTAAAATATCCATTTCTATAAAAATATGCTATTTTGACAGCTTGAATTAAGATATTTTAATCAGAGCCGGCAAAATAGCATATTTTCTAGCCACTGCCTTTTTTTATACCAATTATCATGGACCCACAAATTCACAAAGAGTCAATAACAATATGTAACAATCTTAATTTTAGATGTACAATCTGGTTCATACAGAAAATACAATACAAAATACAGGATACAAATGAGTATTTGTAGTTTAAAATTTGTTACCAGTTAAGCAAAGATTCTTTGTAGTGTTCATGCATATACATTTATTAATAATAATAATGAACACTACATAATAAATATCTGACTCTTTTTTATAGCACCAGTCATGAAAACAAAAGGAAGCATGAATTAAAAATCAATCGATTTCTATCCAGTAATGAACATATGAAGTACACATTTTTATGTGTCTATAGAATAAATAAAGCAGACTTTTTGAGCTGTTTAATGTCATGGTACCCAAATTGCACTGAGTAATCAATTAGCATCCATTAAGAAAAATAAAAAACAAAAATACAGCAAAAATCTTATAGGTGTTCTTACCGACTAAACAATTTAGCTATAAAACATTGACACTTACCATTTTGTCAGTTGTACTGGCTTAAGATTGCCCAAGCGTATTTGCCACCAATTTTCGGTAGGCCAAACACACTTCCGCTGTACCTGGTATTTTTTAACCACAATAACTGCTTTGTTAAAGTTTGCTTTCTTTTTATTTTACAGATTTAAGAACAAATGAGGTGTGGATGATGAGATTTAGACAAAGACTGGCTTGGTTAGTGATAGTGTTTTTTCTAGCAGCAACATGTGCTCTTGTGTACTATATTTTTGAGATAAATGAACATTTCAATAAATTTGCCATTGACCATGTTGAAAAATTCCATACAAACTCGGGAACAGAATTTGACCATGGATTGTGGCATCACATAATTGATATACCTGCTTTTGTCTTCTTCATCATATTTATAATGGCATATCTACAGATTTTCTTCATGATTTTGGCTTGTACCAGAACAGAACCAAAGCACAGTTTTGCATACATTTGGCCAAGTTTTCTTTCTACAAAGTTCAAGTCGTTAGTATCAAATTGTTCATTAAGTATTGAAGGATCAAAGAAATCTCATGACTCTACAAATGGTTATATTACGATTGATACATGAATTATGCTTATACACAGTACTGTGATATTTTAGAATTATCAGTTGTTGAGTTTCTATAATCTTGTCTTTTTTTCATTTTGATAGCATTATTTTATTTACATTTGTTTTGATAACTTTTATTTTGGAAATGAGGAATACATGTCCATACAGTGGGATACCTATTGACAAAAAAATATTGCCCTTGCTTACACCAAAAAATAGAACTCTTCAATGTTTGGAACCTTCTCTGTTATTATGAGTAGGTTTAGGAAATTGTATCATGATAAGACTATGTTGAACACTTATATTAGACTAAGATATATGAATGAAAAGAAATTTAGATTTTGAATGTTCATAATTTTGAATTTTTTTTTGGCAAAGATTAACATTTTTAAGTGTAATAACTTTCTGATACAATTTTCTTGATGAACAGTGAAAAATAAAACAATATCAATTTGCATGTAAATTATATATAACACAGTTTAATAACATAAACAGTACAGATTTTGCTGCATCAGATGCACATTTTGACAATCAATGTCTCTTCAGTGATGTTTGAGGCCAAAACATAATTTTAAAAAATGTAAGATTTTAGTTTAGAAATAATTTTAAATCAGTTTGGTATATACAAAGTATTGATTTTATTGCCTTAATCACTTGACGAGTTACTTTTTTCATTGTTCTCATGTCACCAGTATTGCCAACATGTATGAAAGAATGATGTGTGTTACATTGAAAATACATATAAATATATATATATATATATAAATGTATATAAAAAACCTCAAATAAAGTGCTAAACATTTAATTAAGAATACTCAAATTGAATGCTTATATCTTTGTTATTCTGATGATAATTTATAGCTAGACAAATATAATAGATATTCATGATATTTGCAGTTGTCCTTTCTGTCTTTTGGGATGTCATTTTGATATATTATTGAGATAAATTTGAATATTCAATCTGTTATTGTATTATATAACATTAATTATACTGGCATTTGATATACTTTGTGTTTTTCAATTGACCAAGGCATAAGCATTGTGGTGTATTTACAATTTTTTGATTGTATGATAATTTATTATTATTTTGAAGCACATGATTGACACTATTGATACAAAAATGTAAATCTAAGCGATTTAAGGCAAAATGTGCTACATCAGTAATATGACATAAAACTTGCAAGATTGTGTTCATTCGTAAATATATTAGTGAAAAAGTATGTTGGAGTTTGTCAGATTTGTCAGTTTCATAATTTATATTTCATGGTACGGTCAAGGTCATTTGCCTTACATCTGTTTTTATATTTTTTGCGATACTAAGTATATTGGTATGACGTTGGCGTCATCGTCCGAAGACACATTGGTTTTCGCACTCTAACTTTAGTTTAAGTGAATGGATCTTTATGAAATTTTACCATAAGGTTCAATACCACAAAAGGAAGGTTGGGATTGATTTTGGAAGTTATGGTACCAACAAGTAAGGAATCAGGGGCCCAAAATGGGCCAAAAATAAGCATTTTTGTAACTTCCAGACAATAACTTGTGTTCAAGTGTATGGATTTCTCTGACATTGTACCTCAAGGTTCCATATCACAAAGGGAATGCTGGGATTGATTTTGGGGGTAATTGCCTCAAATTTTAGGAATTAGGGGCCAAAAAGGGGTTAAAAAAACAAGCATTTTTCTAGTTTCCAGACAATAACTTGTGTTCAAGTGTATGGATCTTGTACTGCAAGGTACCAAAAAAAAAATTTAGGGGGGGTGGGTTAAAAAAGAAATTGTGGGGGCAATTTTTTTTTTCATTTCAGATTACAGAAATTAAAAAGAAAATTTCTTAAAATATTATTTCTTTTTGCAAAAAAAAAGAGGGGGGGGGGGGGGGGGGGGGGGGGGTGGGGGGGGGGGGGGGGGTCAATACGCAACAGCATAGTGTTTTTCACAAAAGCAAAAAAAGGGGGGGTAAATTTTATTTGGGGGGGGGTTCAATTTCACAACAGCATAGTGTATTGCACAAAAGCAAAAAATTGAATATAGATTCAAATCATATAACCAATTCTAAGTTCTTTGACTACAGTTATTCGGTGTCAGAAACCTATTATGTGTCAAATATTTATTTACAATCCAAATTCAGACCTGTATCAAGCGTGAATATTGTGTCCATTTTTGCCCCAACTGTTCAGGGTTGGACCTCTGCGGTCGTATCCTGCTGCACTCAGCGAAGCATTTTATTATTCATATACATAGATAGAGCAAGTTAATATGTTATAATGAACATTCAGTAAACTCCTATCTGATTAAATTACAGATCCTTTGTCGAAGCATTGCTTACAAGGATCTGAAAGCACTCCGTTTTACTTTCTGTTGTGGTAATTATTACATCAGTCAATGAAATTCAGCCTTCAAATTTTTGTATCATTACGACAAAACCAAAGGATTCCGAAAGATCTCTAAAACAGAAAGTAGAACGGAGCATTGTCAGATTTTTGTTAGTGAAGCTTGGACACAGGATCTATATTTTAATCAGATTCAGTAAAATTTGACTTTATGTTAACTACCTCTTCAGTTTCTTTTATATGATTTTGTCATTTGATATCTTTATTGTATATGTGTGAAAAAAACCTATAGTGGTACATGTATATATATTTATGATGTTGGTGGATAAAATTTGTGTTTTTTCCCTAGGTTAGAATAAGTGTTTACTATGGGTTAAATGTTATTCATGGGATACTAATTTTCATGGATTTCATGGGTTTAGGTAAATCACCAGATTAATTGTTCCAAAAATGTCCTTGTTAGCAGAATTTTTCAAAAACATGAATACAATTATTTCTGAAATCTGAACCCCCCCAAAATTGGTACCCATATGAATAAATGAATCCAGAGTAACCGGTATATTAGTGGTATATGGGTCATATGTACTTATTGTATCTTTACACTGTGTTATTCTGCTAATTTGCAGCAATTTAATTTGCTTCACACACATAAAAATTCACATTTTTTTTTTAAATATACAGAAGTGCATGATAAAGAAGACTAAAGATTTACATATGTTCATCTTTGTCTTGTTTGGAAGATAAGTACAAAACTGGCTGATAGTTTTGTTATTGTACTGCAGTTGGAGTCAGTTGTGTAATCTACTTATCTTACAGTTTTTAATCTAGATCCTTGAATTTTCACAAAATGGTTGCACCTGGTTTTTTGTCATTGTTTTGAGTAATTTTGTTAAACCAAAGGGTTGAAACTTGGGATTTGTCGCCTCTCCACTTAACACTAGGCAATAAGGAGTAAGAACAATGACTGGTTGGCCTGAAGTCAGAATAAATTGTCCAGGTAGGGTGATATGTCTTACTTTGGAGTGTTACCTTGTGAACTAGCACATTAATAAACTGGCTCTGTGTGTCAGTCTAGTAGAAAGCAGAGTTCTTATTGATATCACATGAACATGTTCTCATCCTGAATATGCATTTAATGTGCCACCGGACATTTAAACAAATTTTCACATTTTCTTTTTCTTCTCTGAAACTACTGGACCAATTTTTTATACGACCGCAAAAAAATTTCGTCCGGCGTCGTCCGAAGACACATTGGTTTTCGCACTCTAACTTTAGTTTAAGTGAATGGATCTCTATGAAATTTTACCACAAGGTTCAATACCACAAAAGGAAGGTTGGGATTGATTTTGGGGGTTATGGTACCAACAGTAAAGGAATTAGGGGCCAAAAAGGGGCCAAAAATAAGCATTTTTGTAACTTCCAGACATAATTTGTGTATAAGTGTATGGATCTCTCTGACATTGTACCACAAGGTTCCATATCACAAAAGGAATGCTGGGATTGATTTTGGGGGTAATTGCCTCAAAATTTTAGGAATTAGGGGCCAAAAAAGGGGCAAAAAACAAGCATTTTTCTAGTTTCATGACAATAACTTGTGTGTAAGTGTATGGATCTTTCTGAAATTGTACTACAAGGTTCCATATCACAAAGGGAAAGCTGGAATTGAGTTTGGGGGTAATTGCCGAAACGTTTAGGAATTGGGGGCCAAAAAGGGGCCAAAAAACACATTTTTCTAGTTTCCAGACAATAACTTGTGTTCAAGTGTATGGATCTCTCTGAAATTGTACTGCAAGGTACCATACCGCAAAGGGAAGGCTGGGATTGATGATGGGGGTAATTGCCTCAATATTTTAGTAATTAGGGGCCAAAAAGGGGGGGAAAAAAGCATTTTTCTGGTTTCAGGACAATAACTTGTGTGTAAGTGTATGGATCTTTCTGAAATTGTACTACAAGGTTCCATAACACAAAGGGAAAGCTGGGTTTGAGTTTGGGGGTAATTGCCCTAAATGTTTAGGAATTTGGGGCCAAAAAGGGGCCAAAAAACACATTTTTCTAGTTTCCAGACAATAACTTGTGTTCAAGTGTATGGATCTCTCTGAAATTGTACTGCAAGGTACCATACCACAAAGGAAAGGCTGGGATTGAGTTTGGGGGTGATGAATCATAAGGGGGTTCAAAAAATTTGGGGGGGGATTTTTTTTTTTTCCTTTTTTTTTCTTTTAAAATTTTCCATTTTAAGTTGGTTATTTCTGATTTATATTTAAAAGCAAATAATAATGATATGGTAGGAGATACACAACAAACAGGATGTGTAAATTATTATATAATAAGTATTGTGCAATCGCAAGAAATTTTCAATTGCACAGTATTGCGCAATAGCAAGAAATATCCAATAGCACAATATTGCGCAATAGCAAGAAATTGTCAATTGTACAGTATTGCGCAATAGCAAGAAATATTTAATTGCACAGTATTGTGCAAAAGAAGATACTTCGTATAAATTGCTTATTTCTTGATCAATTTCAATGGGGTTTTATTCTTGAATTCTTGGGGTTCTTTAATATGCTGAATCTAACCGTGTATTTAGTTTTTGGATTTTGGGCCCCATTTTTAAATTGTTCCACATTGAGGTCCAAAGGGTCCAACATTAAACTTTGTTTGATTTCATCAAAAATTGAGTTATTGGGGTTCTTTGATATGCCGAATCTAACCGTGTATTTAGATTCTTAATTTTTGGTTCCGTTTTCAAATTGGTCTACATTAAGGTCCAAAGGGTCTAAAATTAAACTTAGTTTGATTTTAACAAAAATTGAATTCTTAGGGTTCTTTGATATGCTGAATCTAAACATGTATTTAGATTTTTGATTATGGGCCCAGTTTTCAAGTTGGTCCAAATCGGGGTCCAAAATTAAACTTTGTTTGATTTCAACAAAAATTGAATATATGGGGTTCTTTGATATGCTGAGTTTAACCATGTATTTAGATTTTTGATTTTTGGGCCCCGTTATCAACTTTGTCCACATTGAGGTCAAAAGGGTCCAAAATTAAACTTTGTTTGATTTCATCAAAAATTGAATTCTTGGGGTTCTTTGATATGCTGAATCTAACCATGTATTTAGATTTTGGATATTGGACCATAATAGGTGAATGTCCAATTTAAAATTTTTAAGTTCTTAGATCACATTCATTCTGTGTCAGAAACCTATGCTGTGTCAAATATTTAATCACAATCCAAATGCAAAGCTGTATCAAGCTTGAATGTTGTGTCCATACTTGCCCCAACTGTTCAGGGTTCGACCTCTGCGGTCGTATCAAGCTGCGCCCTGCGGAGCATTTTATCCCAAACTGCAGGAATATTATATGGAAAATCTTCTGTAAAAATTAGGGATGTCAACTCAGTGAACAATTACTATTTGCGTACTCGTTGGTTTTATCAAGCGATACTCGAGTCCTCGCTCGGGAATATATCTACAACACAGAAAACAAAAAAACGTACTTTACATTCTGTGGTTTGTTGTTCAACTGACGAAAACCCAGCTACATAAGTTTCTGGGACAAGGAATTACACACTATAATTAATAGATCATTACCTATACAGGTACTAATTAAGTAAAAAAACAATAATCTAATCAATATAGTCTGGGAACAGTATATATATGTTCCTGATATAGTTTAATGAACACATATTTAAAAATTATAACAAGGAAAAATCATTTCAAACAATAGTTTTTGGTAATCGTTAAGAAAACACATTTAATGTTTACAAAGGCATAAGGATTAGAAGTTTAATTATTCACTGAGGGTCACCAGAGGATGCAACGAATTTATTTTATTTGCAAATATTTTCTTGTCAACTATTATTGGGGATAGTCGGTTTTGCAACTTCGTAAATTACAGTCTGGCAGACGAAAATATTTGCTCTGACGGTACCGATGTGACAGAATGGCGAAGACATGTTAAGTTTAAAGTATTAGCCTAGGTAGGCATAGCCCACGTATTTTCCGAGGCATTTTCAATGACAATTTAGCACAAGCATTCGAAACAAAATGTATTTTATTCACTAGTATGATTAATCAGTGATGCCTATTTAATTTTCCGAAAGAGGTTCTCAAAAAAGATCACTTTTATATAAAGAAAACAGCAATATTCTGACAGGAAACCGATTAGTCGAGTATCGTTTTGGTATTCGATACTCTGTACTACCGAGCGATACTCGAATACTTGAGTACTCATTGACATCCCTAGTAAAAATCATTCCTCAATTGTTTCAGTTCAGATGTAAAACGTGGCAGCAAGAGGCAAGATGTGTTTCTTTAAAATCTCACCATCTAAAACTACAAGGCAAATGTTTTAAAACTTTAAAGGAGTTAAAACAAAGCCACCAGGATCTAGACATGACATAAGCTATCTTCTCTTGAGAAGTTAAAGGATACATTTAGCCAGGGGAACAATTCAGACTCATAGGAGCCTCTTGTTTTAAGAGAATATTTTTTAGCTTTGCAGAATTTTTTATAACCTATTTAGTATTGAAATCTACTTTTGAAAGTTATAGAAAGATAAACCAATCACAATGTTAAAGAAGACTACATGTATGTGTGAACACTTCATATACAAATGTATATCATAAATCTAGACTTTGTACATACTTGAAGCCTACATTCTGTTGTTAGTATAGCAGAAGCTGATTGTTTGTTAAAAGCATTCCAAAATCACTTTTTATTTATTAATATCTACCAATATATGAATATGTTTTGTTTTTCTTAATCATATATAACTTCATGTTTTTGTCGAGCCTTCGACTTTAGTCGGCGGCGGCGTCCACAAATATTCACTCTGTGGTTAAAGTTTTTGAAATTTTAATAACTTTCTTAAACTATCCTGGATTTCTACCAAACTTGGACAGAAGCTTGTTTATGATCATAAGATAGTATCCAGAAGTAAATTTTGTAAAAATAAAATTCCATTTTTTCCGTATTTTACTTATAAATGGACTTAGTTTTTCTGCCGGTAAATATTACATTCACTCTGTGGTTAAAGTTTTTAAAATTTTAATAACTTTCTTAAACTATCCTGATTTTGTACCAAACTTGGACAGAAGCTTGTTTATGATCATAAGATAGTATCAAGAAGTAAATTTTGTAAAAAAATAAATCCATTTTTTCCTTATTTTACTTTTAAATGGACTTAGATTTTCTGCCAGGAAACAACACATTCACTCTGTGGTTAAAGTTTTTAAAATTTTAATAACTTTCTTATACTATTTTGATTTTATTCCAAACTTGGACAGAAGCTTGTTTATGATCAAAAGCTAGTATCTAGAAGGAAATTTTGTAAAAAAATAAATCCATTTTTTCCGTATTTTACTTTTAAATGGACTTAGATTTTCTGCCAGGAAACAACATATTCACTCGGTGGTTAAAGTTTTTAAAATTTTAATAACTTTCTTATACTATTTTGGATTTGTACCAAACTTGGACAGAAGCTTGTTTATGATCAAATGCCAGTATCTTGAAGGAAATTTTGTTTTCTTCCAGTTAACATTACATTCAGTCTGCAGTTAAAGTTTTTAAACATTTATTAGATTCATAAACTATCCTGGAATTTTACCAAACTTGGACAGAAGCTTCTTACAATCAAAAGATAGTATCAAGAGGAATATTTTTATTGATTTACTTCCTCATTTTTGTTGAGCCTGCGATTAACAGAAAAAGTAGGCGAGACACTGGGTTCCGTGGAACCCTTACGAATTTTTTCTAGCAAATTACTGTTATATTTTAGTAACAAAATACTGTTATTTTTTGTAGCTGCATTGATGAAGTTTAAATGATGAACAACTGTTCTTTGGAAAAAGAACTAGGATTTAAAACCCTATCAAAAGTATTAGAATCTTGTTTTTATGCCGATTTAAAGTAAGCTATGACTTTTGCTACCTTAGCTTATATTATGACAAAGGCATTGGGATAACTTTGCATCAGCATTTTAGTTTGGGAACATTTTTTATTTGAGTGATGATTGACAATAATCGTTTTGGAGTAGAAAATTGTTATTGATAATGAGCTCAAAGGCAATATCACTGCAGCTTAAGACAAGACTGAAATTTGAAAAAAATAGTTTTGTTATGATATGTTTTAAATTAAATCTTTTCATTACCAATCTTTGATAAATACTATTCTGTTTGAAGAGGAAGTTGTCTATTGATTTTGATATCACAAGGTGAATGGTCAAGCTACTCTTAATATCATACTGAAATTTAGGAAAACAGGTTTGTTTCTGGACAATATCTTTTGAATCATTAATTTTTACTTTTATACTAAAATTTGATGGATAATTATTCAATTTTCGTATAAATTGGATATACTAATTGGGGGAGAGAAAGACCTTTCTTTAATTTTCTCTATCTTTTAAGATCAGTAAGGGATATTGATCAAGATATAAATAAACTTATTTCTTAATTTTTACTGAAAATATCTTTTGAATAACAATTTTGATCTTTACCAAATCTGGTAGGGAAATAACTAATGTGACTGGTTTTGTGGTCATCAGGTTAGATATCCAGGAAAAAATAAATAGATTGAAATTTATGACATTTTCTATTTGAGTAAAGTGTTATTGAAACTTAAATTCATGAATAAAGTCTCTTGGGGAAAGAAGACATTGTCAATTTGTCATTCTTTTGTTTTACTTTTGTATTACATTTGTATTACATTTATATTATATATGCAAACATTCCAGGAGATAACTGTTTTCAAAACAAGCAATAAGTATCAAATACTCGGGTCACAACTCTACTGACATTTTTTTCTGTTTTGTCTGATTTTTATCAATGATCTATTTCTTATATATTGAGGTCTGTGTTAACATGTCTGTTCAGTGGTGCATATCAGTAGAAGAAATTTATATTTTAATTATGTTAGTAAATTCAAGTTGAATTTGTTTACATATATACCTGCATATTGATAAGAAGATTACCAATTAGTCTGATGATTCAGTATTTGATGCTGCCTTTTTTTCGATTTGAGGTTTTATGCCCTCATTTTCATGTGTTGTAAAATCATGTTATTTTTTCAAAAGCGGTTGATCATTATTTACCAGAAGAGATTAAAGATGGGGAAAATCAAACATATTTTTATCTTTTACTTAGTTGTTTCATTTGAATATTTTAAGAATAAGAAGATGTGGCATAATTGCCAATGAGACAACTCTCCACCAAAGACCAAATCACATAGACGTTATTAACTCATCTTGCAAGAAATTCTCTCAATTGGTTAAAATGGTCTGGCGACTGTTCTCTGATGCAAATTTTTGAAAAATTGTCCTTCATTGTAAGGAAAAGGAAGGATATCAAGACATAATTTAGTCCTCATCATTCTTGAGGGTATAATCTTTTTTTATGCCCCCGTGGTAGCCGAGGGGACATCAAGTTTTACCCTTGTCCGTCTATACGTCTGTCCGTCCGTCTGTACGTCCAAAAATTGGTTTCCGTTCTCTAACTTTAGTTTGCCTCAACCAAATGTTATGAAACTTATCCACAATGCTTATTACCACAAAACACAAATCAAATTTGAATTTTGGTGGCGTCACTTTTACCGTTCTAGAGTTATGCCCCTGTACAAATGAAAAAATTGCTGATTTTTTTGTTTCCTTACTCTAACTTGAGATTGCCTCAACCAAATGTTATGAAACTTATCCACAATGTTTATTACCACAAACACAGATCAAGTGCGAATTTTGGTGGCATCACTTTTACCGTTCTAGAGTTATGCCCCTTTACACATGGAAAAATTGCTGATTTTTTTGTTTCTGTTCTCTTACTTTAGGTTGCTTCAACCAAATGTTATGAAACTTATCCACAATGTTTATTACCACAAAACCCAAATCAAGTTTGAATTTTGGTGGCGTCACTTTTACCGTTCTAGAGTTATGCCCCTTTACAAATGAAAAAAATGCTTATTTTTTTGTTTCCATACTCTAACTTGAGATTGCCTCAACCAAATGTTATGAAACTTATCCACAATGTTTATTACCACAAACACAGATCAAGTGCGAATTTTGGTGGTGTCACTTTCACCGTTCTAAAGTTATGCCCTTTTACAAATGGAAAAATTGCTGAAATATTTGTTTCTGTTCTCTAACTTTAGTTTGCCTCAACCAAATGTTATGAAACTTATGCACAATGCTAATTACCACAAAACAAAGATTAAGATTGAATTTTGGTGGCGTCACTTCTACTTTTCTAGAGTTATGCCCCTTTAAAAATGGAAAACTTGCTGAATTTTTCGTTTCTGTTCTCTAATTTAAGTTTACGTCAACTAAATGTTATGAAACTTATAAACAATGCTTATTACCACAAAACTCAGATAAAGTTCAAATTATGGTAGTGTCCCTTTTACAGTTCTGGAGTTATGGCCCTGTATAACGTTATATGCAAGCGGGGGCCTCATCTCAGTGTCCCATGGACACATTCCCCATTTATTTTAGAATTTAAAGCAACACTTGTTTACCGATATTCAAATTTCGTTAATCGATTAGGAAGAGACAAATCAAGATAACAAACACAAACTGAGTACTAGTATATTTTGTTTTAAGCATTTACAAAGACTTTTAAAAATACTGCAAGTAAACCAAATTGTATCAAGGTATGAGAAAACAATTTATCTCCTTTAAGAATTAATGGCCCCACTTGCCTTAGAAAAGCAATGATATGATCATCATTATCAAGAGCAAAACAAATATCTAAAATAGCCATGACAGTAATTTTTACGTCAGTTCCTGTAAGAAAATAAGGTTGATATCAAGGGCCAATCAAAACCAAATGTGAATTAATTTAAGGACACTAAATATTCAACTCAATTTTAGTAGATATATGCGGTGTAATATGTATGCATACTATACAAGTTTCATTCCAGTTGACCAACTTTTTAGCTGATTACAGCCCTAAGACGTGGGGGATATTCCGTAAAAATTAAGCTTAGTACATTATCAAGACGGTATATGGTATATAACTTCCCGACACAAAATCCCAAACTAATATAACACCTTAAGCAAAGGAACAGTGTTTTTATTGCTGTTATTTATCATTAAATCACAGTAAGGTCTTTAAATTGTTGAAATTTCATGAAAATATATTTGTTTTCAGTCAGAAGGGTCCCAGACTGTCCATGCGAACTCCAACGTTGGTCTTACCAGCGATTTGTATGCAGTTTTGTTTATTGTTTATATTCAGGTTTCGTTTAAGGAGTCCTATGGTCGTGTTTCCCTTATTACACGTTTTCGATATGTTCAACTCTCAGATATGAACTGATGGTACGGCCTAGGTACTATGCCAACTGAAGGGTCGGCCATGCAATGTGTACTCTCTCAATCTAGGTTTGCGGTTTCTTGATATTGTTAGTACATTTGATTGTATCAGATGTTTCCCCTTCTCCCGCTAGTTTCCTTTCAGAAAGGAAATGGATCCATTTGTTGGTTTTTGACGAGCCTTCGACTTTAGTCGAAAAAGCGAGACATAGCGATCCTACATTCCGTCGGCGTCGGCGTCGTCGTCGTCGTCGTCGTCGGCGGCGTCCACAAATATTCACTCTGTGGTTAAAGTTTTTGAAATTTTAATAACTTTCTTAAACTATCCTGGATTTCTACCAAACTTTGACAGAAGCTTGTTTATGATCATAAGATAGTATCCAGAAGTAAATTTTGTAAAAATAAAATTCCATTTTTTTCCGTATTTTACTTATAAATGGACTTAGTTTTTCTGCTGGAAAATATTACATTCACTCTGTGGTTAAAGTTTTTAAAATTTTGATAACTTTCTTAAACTATCCTGGGTTTCTACCAAACTTGGACAGAAGCTTGTTTATGATAATAAGATAGTATCCAGAAGTAAATTTTGTAAAAAAAAAATCCATTTTTTCCTTATTTTACTTTTAAATGGACTTAGATTTTCTGCCAGGAAACAACACATTCACTCTGTGGTTAAAGTTTTTAAAATTTTAATAACTTTCTTACAATATTTTGGATTTGTACCAAACTTGGACAGAAGCTTGTTTATGATCAAAAGCTAGTATCTAGAAGGAAATTTTGTAAAAGATAAATCCATTTTTTCCATATTTTACTTTTAAATGGACTTAGATTTTCTGCCAGGAAACAACACATTCACTCTGTGGTTAAAGTTTTTAAAATTTTAATAACTTTCTTATACTATTTTGGATTTGTACCAAACTTGGACAGAAGCTTGTTTATGATCACATTCTAGTATCTAGAAGGAAATTTTGTTTTCTTCTAGTTAACATTACATTCAGTCTGCAGTTAAAGTTTTTAAACATTTATTAGATTCATAAACTATCCTGGATTTTTACCAAACTTGGACAGAAGCTTCCTACAATCAAAAGATAGTATCAAGAGGAATATTTTTATTGATTTACTTCCTCATTTTTGTTGAGCCTGCGGTTAACAGAAAAAGTAGGCGAGACACTGGGTTCCGCGGAACCCTTACGAATTTTTTCATCTGATTCAGATGTAAAAATCCAGTTTGAGAGTCAGTAGGCTGTGATTACTTTATGGAAAACCATAATTAGACAGTTTGTTTCTTTGCATCCATGTGCATGGTGATGTCATTGATAAATTCAATCAGTTGTGTTTCGCAGAATAGGCCTCTCCTGAATGCATGTTGTAGGGGATAAAGTGTATTGCGTTTTTCAGCACGTTTTATTATAGGCTTGTTGCATGATTTTGCAGAAAATGCAAATCAGTGAAACTGGGTGGTAGTTTAGAGTGTTCCCTTCTTAAATATTGAATTTACATGTGTCCTCTTTCATATGTCTGGTAAGTCATCTCGTTTATAGAACCACCTGAAGATAGTTGTTCAGATTGGAGCAATATCTATCGAAAGCTCTTTCAACACCCTTGGTGTAATGGTGTCTGTATCAGCAGCTTTGTATGGATTCAGATTTGATAGTAATTTTTCTATATCATTTTCAGTGATGTTAATGTCCTGTAGGGAAGGGTAGAAATTGTTTGTCATGTTACAACGTTTTTGAATTTCAATGTTTGTGAAATTTGCTCTATCGGCTAATGATAAATGAACTGTTACCTTTTCGGCCTTGTAATTGAAAACATGCATATATGATAGTGTAGTCATGCAAGGTATGGTTATATTCATACTTAAACCAAGTATACATATATATTTTAAAACTTTTATTTCAAAAACATTTATGGACACAACAGATATGTAGCGATAATATTATATTTGAACCTTTCGCTACACCTGTATTCACAGTGGCATTTTTTTACCCATATGATGTCCAACAGACGGTCCGTTTTCTTTATTCTTTTGCTCTTCCTGATAATTGTCCGACATCACAAACCATTTGTGTGCATCAAAGTTAGAAAGCGATGGGAATATAAGTGGTTCTTCTGTTAGAATATTCTTAAGACGTGTTCCCCAGGCATTTAACATTTGTTCTCTCTGTTTGTCATCGGCATATGTAGGTGAAAATGAACACTGTGGCTTCAGAACATCAAATCCGCAAAATCGAAGTGTACAGTACTGAAAAATATAAAATAGAAATGGCTGGTTCTGATACAAACTAATCAAAATACGATCGGTAACTTCTGTTATTTCGCTATGTTTATAACAGTAAGTCGACGAGTGAGCGAGTCACGACTGATCTGCATTAGATTGGATTAGATAAAATGACAATTTTAACGTATATCAGTAAAGTAAGAGCCTTGCATGTATTCTTCACCTGGCATGTTTGCCTGAATGTAAACTGAATGGTGTTTTGTTTTTACTTTTCGAATACACAATAGGAACCACATCTAGATATCAACAATTTAAAATTTCTTTGCATCCTTTCTGCACCAAAATAATAAGTGCAATTAAAATCTAATTCAGCAGGGGTTTTCTGTACTCAGCAAAACATCTATAGTATGATAAAAATAAAACTGATGGACAATCATTGTTATATATCTATTCAATTTGTAAGAGCTTATTATACAATTACAAACCAAATTCATCTCAATATGTATGAGGAAGACACAGAGAAAAAAATTTATTTCGAGCCCAATTAATTCAAAAGCCGATTTGCAAGAACAAAGCTATATATAGCACGAACAATCTAATTAGGGACAGCAATTTTTAAGTTCTAACTTTAATTTTTACACCAAAAATTACCAAGATTTCAGTACCTACCCAAACATATATCTCCCCTCCCCACCCACCCCCACCACCACCACTAATTTCCTCCACGATCAAATTACAAAATTACAAAATTCAAAAACCTGCTGCAATGAAAATTTTCTTAATCAAATTTCGAGCATTAATAATTTTAAAGGTGCTCCGAATCAATTAAATGAGAGTTTTAAAAACTCCCCCAACTCTAGGATCTAGTCCTCCAGGATCAGATTAAATTTGGTATTCCTTTTTGTCAAGTTAATGTATCCAGATATGATAAATTCCATATTCCTATTCAAATACTTCCCACATTTCACTGTAAACAAGACAACATCAAATTCATTTTCACACCTAAATCAGTTCAATATTAAAATCCCAAAACCTTAGACATAGATAATTTTTATAGAATTTGTCGTACACCAAATATCTGTTTTCGATCTGTAATACTGTTGAAGGAGTTGTGAAACAATCACAAATAATTTGATTTGCAATCCAATGAGACATTTTTAAACTATCGGTCGAGTTAATTATATAATTACATATAATGGAAACTTTTTCTTTAAAGTTCCGCTTCTTTCTCAAATGATATTAAAAAATCACTATATATTTCACTAGTTACTCTTTCCTTCGCGTAAATACCAAAATCTTCATACTTCTGCAGATACAACTCTTATAATATCATTGATAGTCCCTTTATTTTCATTAAGAAATTCGACGAAGGATGAAAAACTACATTTGCTTATCTACTGGATATCCAAATCACATATATTAAAGTTAAAAGCATATCCTTTGATAGCTTAGAATTGTATTATTGGATCTGTCAAATGATTAGATGATTCATAAAATATATTTCGTATTATGTACATTTATTGAAGCTATCAACCAAATCTGCATTTTCGAGTGTCTCTGAAACTTCCCATTCCTATTTTGGATTTTCCTTGGAGTTCGGTATTTTTGTTGTTTTACTTTTTCCTATTCCACGGATTTTGTTATTCAGAAATGGAATTTGAAAAGTTCCTAATATCTGCAAGAGTACGTTTACATAGCGTTCTCTGTCCTAGAACAAACGCATGCCCATTTTGCTTCTCTGGTTTTTACATTTTATTCCCAATTCTCAGTAGAATTTATACCTTTCAGTAATCTTACAGAGCGCTACTCTTGAGTGATGAGTTTGAGTCCACATTTTAATATACATGTATATCTATTATAATTAATTGTAGAAGATAATTACCTGAATAGGCCATAGAATAACATTTAAGTCTCCAAGCAAACCATTAGGTGTATACATCCCACCTGGACTTCCTGTTGTAAATGACAAAACAGCTTTCTTCCCCTGAAAAGGGTTATAGGATACATATACAACAATGTTTGGTTCACTATTCATAAATAGGAACCAGTATGTAGTTAATATGATTTACAGGTATTTTTGGCAAAAAGTAACCAGAACCGTTAAGGCTGATTTGCAGAACGAAAATCATGAAAAATATTTTGATACAACTATCCGTCATGTTATTACAGTGAAAACAGTTACATTGTGCGTCGATTGTGCTCAAAACATGCATGAAAAATAATTTGGACGATCATGAAAATAACGGATAAGCTCTTAAAAATAAGAATAAATAGATTTGATCACATTTAACATTTTCTCGAAACAACCTGGTCGAAAAAACGGACCGATTCACGCGAAAAAGCACTATACCAAGCGGACACTTTAACTACTTTGAAAAAAAGGGAAAACAAATCTTTTTTGTGTTTGCTTTTTGAAAAAAACCCACTTTCATTAGTTTTCAATTTTTAAGAATAAAACATATTTTTGATGGTAAAAGACTGATTTGGTGAAAACTGGTAAACACAAATTCGAAGGGAAATAAATATCATTAGACGAAAAAGAATAAACAACATCTAGATACAAAAAAAAAGACGAAAAAACAAACAAAATTCAACAAAATATTACATAGAAAGCTGAAAATTTAGCGAACCCCTTTAAAAGCCAAGGACAACATCTATGAACGTTTATAGACAGGCTGTATGTATTCCTATGGGCATCAATTGTGTCGATTCTTTAATAGCAGACGTGTTCTGGGATTGCTATGAATAACAGTTTATGGCCAAACTCAGTGAAGATCCGTGTAAATTCCATTTAAATGTTAAATTCAAAAACACTTTGATGATATTTTTGCATTAAATAATCAAGAATTCTCTAATCAAACTACCGAAATTTTATAAAATTTAATAAAAACAGGTATAGCTGTATTTTCCTATTTTAAGATATTTCAGTTTCACACTAGAAACTCCATACAGAAATTTACGTTATAGATTTTTTATTGAACATAACCTATGAATAACTGGTAAATTATGAAGTCAGGGATTTTGTTACCACAAATTACTTAAAACCTTAACTATTTTGTTCATAAATACAAAGATATGGTTTTGTAGTTTGTCTGCACCCGTAGAACATTTATTTCAAAAGGGAAATCGCATCTTCTACGGTGATGTTTATAAATTAAGATATGATACATTTAATCTTACAGATCCTTTGACCAAAAAAATATTCTAAAAAGATTATCAATTTAATACTGTAATAAGGCCTTTGAATATTGTTTTATCGGTACTAACATTGATTTTGTTGTTAAAAAATGAAAACATAACTAAACATTTATTCCTATACAGTTATGAAAACATAGGGCCTACATCCTGTTGATACTTGTATTTTGGCACTACACAAGATCGAGTTTTTTTCTTAAAATTTTTATGGCGTCTTTTCACATAAAATATTGATTGTGTACTGATTGGTTTTAGTCTGGGAAACATGATCCATCTATTGGTTGCAATTGGCTTTGAACTAGCTTTTAGTAACTTCGGGTACTCTTAGATCGGTACCTTGTGTCTTTAGTGTTTTGTTAGTTGTTTTCTGTGGTTGGTGTCGATCTGATGAGTGAAAACTTTTCCACGGACTTTTTCTTTGTTCATATGTTGTGCTGATACGCCACTGTCCCAGGTTAGGGGATGATTGAGCGCTCACTAGCATGTTTAACCCCTCCACATCCTGTTCCAATTCAGGAGCTTGTAATTCAGTGGTAATTGGTCGCTATCTATCATATTTCTTTTTCGTTTATTGTTTTGTACATAATTTGTTTGAATTGTTTTACATTTTTTTTCATTCCGGGAGCTTATATTCATACTATACGATATAAATTTTGCTCATTGCTGATAGCTGTACGGTGATTTATAGTTACTTACATCTACGTAATTTTATCTCTGTAGGATAGTTGTCTCATTGCCAATCATACCATCTTTTTATTTTTAAATCAGTTGTCACGGAAGGGTGAGCAGTGTTTTTTTCACTTAAATATTCAAATAGGCAAATGTCTCTCTTTATCCAACTATTATGATCATACTGAAATAGAAATACCCACTGATATATTTACCAATTACCTTCAGAAGTCCTTCATCTAACATTTGTGGAAAGCTGAATGCAAAATCTTTGATGAGAACACGTTCAAACCAACCCTTAAGAATAGCTGGGACTGATGCCCATTGTATTGGAAATTGGAAAATAACTAAGTCAGCCCTTTGTAACTTGTCTATTTCTTGTTTGATATCAAAACACAAACTGTCTTTTTTATAGGCTGCTCCGATTTCATTTGGATAAATGAAATGTTTTGGATTCTCGAGTTCACCTGAAATGGATAAGCGATGCATAACCTGATAAAATGGTACCAGCATTTGATTTTATGTGGCATTTATCGAAGCTTTAAATGATGATTGAATTTTAACCTGAAATCTTGTTTTTCGTATCCTTTGATTAATATCACTAAATAGTCAAAATAAAACGGTACTTTTTTATAAACAATATATAAATGATAATAAGCATACATTCAATCTGTCTAATATTGAGAAGTTTGATAATGTCTAAGATGATGATAGAGGACATATTTGATTAGTTGTGCATCAAACAAAAAGTACAGTACATACATTATCAGTATTAAGATTTTTTCCGGTAATTTTTCGAATGACTCATAGCAGTAGAACATGGAGGAATAACAAATCGTCGGTAATATTATCATAGCTTTCTATCATAGCTCCAGTACTTTGAAATTGCCTCGAAGTAGAGAATAAAATGTCGGAAAATACTCCCCTGTGTTGTTTATTGGAATTTCTCCTTTTTGCAAATTGTTTGTATAAAGCATACCGTATAGCTATTTAAGCGGATTGGTACATAAGGAATACAAAAGTGTACCATTATAGAAATAAAACAAAAAATATACACCAAACATGTATGTAAGTACGAGGTGATATATAGTGATCATGATATCAACCGCGTACGTTCACGTTTGTCACCGATGCCATTATGGTGGCCGGATGCGACTATTTTACGCTTTTGCATTTTCGATTGATGAAATGTCAAAGGCTAAATGGTGCGCTGGTGGTTGTTCCACAGGGCAGTGGTATGCGTCTAGTGTGGTTGTTTTTATGAAAGCAGCTACCGCTGGCTAGCTTACATATGTAAGCGAAGAGAGCCGAGTGAGTAAGCCTCTCCTGCCAGTACATAGCCTCTACACTGTCAAGACTTGTATCTCAGGCTTCACTGTAGGGGTCCTTGGAGCAGCAAGGGCCCTAAAGATGCAGAGTGTAGGCCCACCGGTGTGTGGACACGCCATTACTCGCATCAACCTTGCCCCAACTATGGGCAAATAGCCGGTTAGATGAAGATCGTTAACCTTGGACGGTAATTTGTCTAGGAGAAAGAAAACTCTGAAATAAAAACGGCAGATAATGGCTCGTCAGCCTTGATTTGCAACTTATCTAAAGGAAGGAAACCTTGACAGAAAATCCCTGGCCCTCCAAGTAGGGGGTTCGGCATAGGGCCAACAACTCTATCCTGTGAAAAGATTAAAGTTACGGAAACAGCAACAAAGGAATCAAACACAACCGCTGTGCGAATAGGCATTCAAGGAAAAAGTATGATCGCCAGTGGTGAAAGCCACAAGGAAGCTGCTGGCAGGAATGAAGTGCTGAGCGCTAAAGCAAAAACCACAATAGGATTCTGGAACGTACGTTGCTGCCCTACATGCCAATGGCATATCGGGCAGTAAGTAAGTAAGTAAAGGCTAAATGACCTTATTTGGCCAAAATAGCCATCTTTAACATTCTCCTCGACAAGTGGATTGAAAAAACTTAAAGCCAAACCAGAACATTTGAAAGATGATTTCTAGGGAAATCTATCTTTAGAAAAAAGAAAGAAAAGCAATACGTGAACCCGTGACCGCTGACTGGTCACTAAAAATTTGTTGCTGTTAAGATTTTTTTAACTTCAGATTTGAATTAATTAATTGTGAATAGAATAAGGTAATGATGATGTTAAAGCACCTTAATTGCAAATATGTTATTGTGTGTAGATTCTTGCACAAATCAATTAAAAGGACTGTTGGATTTTAGTGGTAAATAGAAAAGTGTATACAGCTACCATTTGAATTTATCTTTAAAGGCGTGACTACTAGTATTTATCAATAATTTGAGATTGTACATAATTTTTTCTTCGTGTTTAATATACAAAGTCCTAATCTTATTGCAATTCCAAGTTTCTGCAAACCGGATGTCTATGGCAAATTGCACAGACAAACCGCAATTTAAATTTCAGCACTCAGTTTGCTATATAATCTGGATGCATTTATTTCATCTTTCATATCTTCATAATTTACTTCCTGGGTGCCTTTTATTCTTATATTCATTATTGAAGCTGTCTGTGTTCATGGTAGAGGTGGTATAGAGAAATTGAAAGGCAAATTTCCATGTGAAGTGTAATATTTACGGGACAAATAGATAAATCTGTATTAATATTGATAACGGTCTTAATATTATACATGTAACCCCGTAAATTCGTGAGCTACATTAAAGTCTGTTTGGTTTATAATTCACACTATGGCTGCTTAAACGCAAGACCGTTTTCAATATATAGTACATGTTTACAGTTTGAAATACAGGGTAAGACTGCCCAAGCAACGGTTTACAAAATCAATTATTAATTCATTCAAAATGAATAGCTAAGTATATGTGAGAAAATGATAATTCCTTTATTCGTGATTAAGTACGAGCGTAATCGAGTACTTATCACGAAAAAAAGGGATTATCATTCTCTTACAAACTTAGAATATAGCAAAGTGCTCTTGACCAATAAAAGTGCAGAATTTGGTGTTCCTTAGAATGAAGAATGAATGTAAATCATGTTCTTAGTAAGGAATTTTCCTATTGTTTATGCATATTTACTGTTCAAAACAAAGAATTTCTATAAATGACTTACAACTGCTCGAAGCACATTTATCGGATTGACAGGATTATTTATTGAAAGTTGAGTTTTGAATCAAACAAAAAATTAAAAAAATAAGTTTGAAGTTTACTGGTGCAGTACAATTGATACCATTTCTGTTTTTATGTGAATATTTAGAACTTCAAAAAAAAATGTCCTTTCCAATATACCTGTACAAACAGGAAATTGAATTAACTTTTGATTTTTTTATAAAGAGCATTTTCTTTGAAGGTTTAAATTTTAGTTAGTTGAATAGTATTTGATGTAAAGAGCTGGAATAAAATTGACTGTGGAATACAATTTAGTTGTAACTCTGATTTTGAATTTATCAACTCGCTAACGCTCGTACTTAATCATGAAGAAAGGGATAATCATTCTCTTACATATACTTAGAATATTGTAAAGTGCGCAATGCTCAAATGATCTCTTGATTGGTTGTATTCAAGAATTCGTTTCATTGTCTGTGCAATTTTTATTATTAATGCATGACTTCCTTTTTAGGCATTCCATTTATGAATTGGTTTTAGTGATGTAATGACTTTCTTATAATTTTGGAAATGATAATTAATTGTGTTTAAGACATTAGATGACACCACAGTAGAATGAAATGGTAGGAATTGTATATGTTTCCTGATTGTGAGTATGAATGTAAATTATGTGATATTCTAGTGAAGAATTAGGCTTTATCTTACCTCCTATACATTTCTAGGAATATGATTGGTTAAAAGCAACCGCGTTGAGACCGTGTATGTTTCATATTAGGTTAGTAGGGTTCCATATTGGGTTAGTAGGCGGGGCTTATTTCAATATACGGTTAGTAGTGGTGTTACGTCCCTTTATAAAAACAACACGGTGTTGAGGAAAAATCTTAAAGGTTTCAACAGACGAAGAAATTGATGACGAACGATTGAAATAAATTCATAAAACACATTTAAAGCTAACAAGTTGTTATTGTTGGCATTTGTTTTTGTATAGACCAATGGAAGTAGGTTCCTAATACTAACGGTATTGAAGACTTCATCACTTTGATAGGCCACTAGTCTAAATACAACATGTTAAGATAGTCGGTAAGATAAATTCGTTACCTAGTGTGCTAGTGACCTAATCGTATTAGGTCACTAGCACACTATGTAACAAATAATATATTTTTTTATTTACATTTAAAATCAATGAATTAAAAATTTGAGTTACAACTAAATTTCATTTCACAGCCAATATTTTCGTCCGGCTCTTTACATCAAATACTACTTCATTATGTCAGGGAAATGTTCAAATACAGTGCCTTTAAAAGTTTTAAATATATTCAAAAGTTAAATCAAATTCCTGTTTTTTTTATCGGAATATTGGAAATTGCTATTCTTCCCAACCGCGAATCCAGTAATCTGAGTTTTGGTAAGTGTATTAGCGAAAGATTTCGGTTATATTTTATTATAAAACTTTTTTTTCTTTTTTTTGCATTGCTTTGATACTGTTTAATATTTTAGTAATTTCAAGTTTTTAATATTTTCATAAAAACCTCAACGGAACCAATTAACTGTAAACTTCAACTTATTTTGATTTGTCTGTTTGTTTCAAAATTCAACTTTTAGTCAGTTTCAATCACAAATTATTTCAAGCTGATAAATATGCTTAGGGGCAGTTATAACTCATTTATAGAAACTCTTTGTTTTGAACAGTAAGTAGACCTAAATAATCGGATAATCCCTTACTAAGAAAATGATTCATTTTTCACAATTCAGAAACATCAAATCCTACAATTTCATTGGTCGAGTGCACTTTGCTATATTCTAAGTGTTCTTTATAAAATAATTACTATCAATTATTAAACTGTATTAAATGTTTAAACACGAAACACTATAAATATATGTAAAATGATATAAATATATACATTGTACTAGTATGTAACAAGTGTGAAAAATACATGTGTAAAGCAACATCGATATTTCAGCTAATTGAGAAGAGCTGATATTAAAGAGTGTTTGGAGTGCTTCAATCAATACATATGTGATAAATGAAACTGTAAAAATGGTCTTTGTCATTAGTAACAGTCATTTATAGATCCAAAAACACACTTCAGATTAAAATGTTTTTTATTGCGAAAGAAATCAAGATTAAACGTTGATCCCTGGAAACATCTTAAATGAAATAGTTCCAACGTTTTACTATTGTAATCATTAACATTATATGAAATGAAATTTATGTGAAAAGGACCAAAACTAACGAACACTTATTAATAAAGGTCATAATCTGGGTTTTAATGATACTTTTGATGATCAATCATTACATCTGATATTTTTTGGGACGAAAACTGATTCGCTAATTTATATTTTGTATCAAAACAAATTCAAAAATGAAAATTCTTTGATTCAGTACTGATTTTTATTACATACGTTCTGTCGTATACCTTTGTTCAGTACCGTTCATTGTTCAAAGATGAATAAAACGCCCAAAACACTGAACTGGTGATACTATCATTCAAAACAAATGAAACTGTCATGAAATGGCGGGCTCTCAATCAGGGAGTGTACCCTTGTGTCGATCAAACCCTGAATCAGCCATGTATCACCAGCTCAGTAGTCACCACTTTTGTGTTGACATGAATTATCATTAATATGGTCATTATTATAAAGTAACTGTTAACAAAAATTTGAAATTTTCGAAATACTTAGGATTTTCTACTCCTGGATAGATTACCATAGTTGAATTTGGCAAAACCTTTAGGAATTTTGGGTCCTCAATGCTCTTCAACTTCGTACTTTATTTTGCCTTTCAAACTTTTTTGATAACAGCGTCACTGATGAGTCTGATGTAGACGAAAAGCGCGTCTGGCGTACACAATGTTAATCCTGGTATCTATGATGAGTTTATGTACGTTTGTCGTGTTAATTTATTTTTGAATAATAGAAAGATTTAATCAGGGAAACAATGGCTTGTTTCATCTCAGTTTTCTAAGAATACAAAAATGAGATTAATATTGTTAAAAAGCGAAATGAGAAATTACTCTGTACTCACCAATAATATCTGTTTTTGAAAGCACTGGTTGAAAATGTTGTGCGTAAAGGTCAGACACTAACACATTATACCCCTGGGCTGTAAGAGTTTTAACAGCTGTGTCACGAAGTGCTCCATTAAACGATTTAGGCTCGGGATGAGCATACACAATCAGAGCAGTTTTCTGTGTTTCAAGAAAGTTCTTGTACATCTTTTTGTTTCAGGAAAACTGTTTGTATATATGCCTACAATGATCGATTTTCATGCCAACGTAATTTTCACACCAGCCATTGTATTATGAAAAGGTATTTAATTATTCTCTGATCTTATAAATCAAATTACTATGTATAATCTAAAACCGTAATACGGAAGCCGTTTAGGGCCACATTGAGAAAAAGAGTATGTCAAAAACGACATAACTTTGTCGTAATAACAACATCCTATATCGTAATAACGACACCCTAAGTCGTAATAACAGCATCTTTTATTATATGACTATAAATTTTCTGTTTTCTCATTGGCTGAAAGCATAGGGAATCCTCTTTGATAAAACATTATATGCACCGCGGAAAAAATCACTAGAGGTTAATATGTTTAAACTTTTGTTTTCAATTGATACTATACATTTATTTCCCGTGCCGGAGGGAAATATGAAGATTTGTTCACCCAAGAATATTCATATTTCACACGGGCTCTGCCCGAGGGAAATATGATTTTTCGAGGGTGAGCAAATCTTCATATCTCCCGAGGCAAAGGGAATGCTTTGTTTACTATCAATACATTAAATATTATTTTGCATACATTTTTTTTCTTATCCGCTTGTTTTTGTAAGTCAAACTAAACACGACATACCCATTGATAAACAGTAAGGATCAAAATCTAATTATAAGTCTTTTTTTTATCGTCTGAAATAAATTTGAACATGATAATGATTTTTGCTATCGCTATTTTAAGAAGAATAAAAAGTTCAAAACGTTATGTTCATTAACCGCGCGTAACGTCGCACGAAGTAATCCCGACATTTCAGAGGGGAATATGATCCTCAGAATGGAATATGAAGATTTGTTCAATGACACGTGGGATAGTCTCAACCAATCAAATATTGATTAAACTATCAATATGCTTAAACAGGGGAAATGATTTATCAACCCCAGAGATATGACATTCACCTTCGGCCGTTGGCCTCAGTAAATATCATATCTCTGGGGTTGATAAATCATTGTATCAACCTCATCAAAAGTCAATAATTGTATAATGTCGTAATTACTACACAACTTTGTCTTAATAACGACAAGGCCACATCTAGGTAAATTATTGTAAGAGTTGTTGCCCTTAAAAGACTATTAATACGAATTTTTGCGTTTTCCGCTTTTATATTAAAAGAACAAAAAAAAGGGAGAACTGTAAAAAAAAAAAAATCAATTAATATATGATTTACAAAAAGGCGAAGATAGATGAATTTGTGAATAAATATTTGTAGGATTAAATTCTAAATGCCAATTGTTGACCAATATCAGCCTACTGTGCAATCATATCAATATCTAAATTCAAAAGACAGAAACTGTTAACAGTTAAAGTTACTAGTAAACTTTGTCAGAATCTTGTTTGCTATAAAAAGTGGGTGGAAGTTTTTTTTTAGATTGTAAAGTGTGGAACAATGTCATTTTTTTCTGGAAACCATTTATATTAATGGATCTGGATTTCAAAATAGCATTGTAGTTTTACAATTTGTAAACTTATGGCTATGAAACATATTAATTACAATATGTGAAAACGAAGTAGAAAACATCACACATTTATTTTTATTATATTATGAATTTCATACTTTTTACAAGAAAAGGTCATGGTCTTATTTGATAATGGCGAATCTGATAAAATGAACACAGTAGTGTATGAAGAAATAAAACATTATGTAACTTACTTTTATGTGTTTGTTTTGCTTACACATTGTTGTCAATATAATGGAATTCTATGCGAACGTCATACAAGTGAGAGGTTTAGCTAGCTATAAAACCAGGTTTAATCCACCATTTTCTACATAAGGAAATGCATGTACCAAGTCAGGAATATAACATTTGTTTTCCATTCGTTTGATGTGTATGAGCTTTTGATTTTGCCATTTTATAAAGGACTTTCCGTTTTGAATTTCCCTTGGAGTTCGGTGTTTTTGTTATTTTACTTTTTATAAATATTTGTGCGGTGTAAGATGTATGAGAAATGTTTTTGAAAAACTAGTTTTAAAAAATAATATACTTGTTCCAGAGACTGAAGGTGTTATTGCATTCAAAATTTAATTACCTTTATTGTGTATTGATGATATATGATGATATGTAGTTAATACATGTAATTGTTTCGTGAATATTCTAGTGTTTTACAGTTTATAAATGTTGAATATCTTTAAAAAAAAATCAGCATAATATGCATAATAAAAAGGGAGCAATATGTTGCAGGGGCGGATCCAGCCATTTTCAAAAGGGGGGGGGGGGGGGGGGGGTTCCCAACCCAGGATAAAAGGGGGGGAGGGTTCCAACTATATGTCCCCATTCAAATGCATTGATCGTCAAAAAAAAGGGGGGTCCAACCCCCGGAACCCCCCCCCCCCCCCTCCCCCCTGGATCCGCCACTGTGTTGTTAATACTTTTGTACAACCTTGAACAAATACTTCAACCTTACAAGGACGAACGAACAGACGAACGGATGAACAGACGGACACGGACATACAGACCAGAAATCATAAAGCCCCTCTCATATCGTAGGCTGGTAAAAAAAAAAGGAAATCAAGTAATGCAAAAAGTCAAAATGACCTAATTTTGAGTTATTGTCTGTGAATGACTTCAACACCATGAAGGAAGAGTTATAATGACATGGTCAGTTCTTCCAAATCTCTAAGTTAAAGGAGACATAACTAAAAAATTAAATTGGCCTGAACATTCTACCCATATGTTAATTTACATATAAGGATCTAACAATGTATAAAGCTACATGTACATACAATATACCATGTAGGTTGAAGGTAAGATAAAGTCAGTTCTTCCAAATCTCTAAGCTGAAATGATCATAACTATGGGAAAATCCAATGAAACAGAACATTCTACCCACATGCACGTCTACATATATGGATCTAACAATGTACATGTATATACAATATACCATTAGGAGGAGTTCCGATGACAAGGTAAGTTCTGCCATAATCTCTAAGATGAAAAGGGCATAACTATGGAAACACTCAATAGACCAGAACATCCATCCCACATGCACAACAACTGTTTAGATCTAACAATGTACAAAGTTTCATGTATATACGATAAACCACGTAGGAGATGTTGCGTGGACAGTAATTTCTGCGAACATTCCTAAAGGGACATAACTTAAGAAAAACTCAATGGACCGGAACATCCTACCATAAGAATCTAAGAATGTTAAAAGTTCATGTATATACTATAAATTATGTAGTAGGAGTTGCGATGACAAGGTTGGTTCTGAGAAGGGTCAAAATTCCTAAGTGAAATGGGCATATTTCTTGATATAGTAAACAGGGATATGTTTGCATATCAGGATCAATTATTCTACAAAGTATTTAGTATTCAAACAAAGGATAAAAAAAATATATTCGGACAGACAAACGAACGGACAGACAGGTTGATGCCTATATACCTCAAAACTTTGTTTGTGTGAGGGTATAATAAGCGACCGTATCTACTAAGCTTTGATATAGTTCTGTACAGAGAAAATAAATGACACCTGTAATATTAGTAGACAATGTCAGACACCAAGCTAAGCGATGGCCAAAATTAAAATTACTTCCGACACATAAGCTTAATAATTCAGCTTCAAAGCTGGGAATCATTATTCTGATATAAAAATGTCATGTGGATAATTCAGAATCCTAGATTTGTCATCTTCCTAAAAAAATCAATAACGATTGTTACGAAATTTAAACAGATAGGTGGATTGATGAACGTTTTCAGCTTAAAAGACAGTGTTGTATACAAAGGATGAAAGTTAAATAACTTCATTTTGCGCAAAACTAGAGGCCCTCACAATATATGTAACATTAAAATCAAAGGCAAAAGTGGCATTCATCTTTTACACAATACGTAAGAAAAGGACCCGGTTTGATTAAGATTAATTAATAATTTATAAAATTTTGTAACAGCAAATTTGAATAACACTATATCCGTAAGTTCATGCCTGATACCTTCAAGGACAAACAGTCCACCAGCAGAAGAATCGACTCAGTAGTAGTAATAATATTAAAGGTATCATTATTTTTTTTTGCACCGCATTTCGACAATAAATGTCTCTTCAGTGATGCTCGAGGCCAAAACATTTGAAAATCCAAAACTTATTAAAAAGATGAAGAGCTTACAATCCAAAAAAGAAAAACAGTATAGCCAAAGCCGGGCACGGAATCAGAGCTTTGCATGAGGGAGATATATTCCTAAATTCAAAATAATTTCCAAAATTTCGTAACACCAAATTTTAAGAACACAATATCCGTATGTTCATGCCAATACCGAAGTACTGACTACTGGGCAGGTGATACCATCGGTTACTAAAAGTCCACCATCAGAGGTGTCGACCCGACCCAGTGGAAGTAATGATATTAACGGTATCATTTTTTTTTGCACCAGATGCGCATTTCGTCAATAAATGTCTCTTCAGTGATGATCGAGGCCAAAATATTTGAAAATTCTAAACTATTCAAAAAGATGAAGAGCCGATAAAACATAAACCAGATAGTTATTGAGATGATTGCAAAATACTAGTAGTCTGATATTGGTCAACAATTGTTATTCAGAACATTTAGTCCTACAAATATTTATCCACAATCATCTACATGTATCTTCACATTTTTGTAAATCATATATTGCTGAATACTGCTGTTTACAGTTTCTCTCTTTTTTGTAGTTCTTCCTCTAAGGGCAATAACTCTTTATAAGAATTACCTAGATGTAGCCTTGTCGTTATTATGTAATTACGACATAAATTATGTTTCCAATGTGGCCCTAACCGGCTTCCGTACAAAACGGTTTATACCTGTTTCTAGCTAAGCTTATTCTATTTTTAAGCATATTGCATAATTAGTTTGTAATTAAGTCTACCATAACATGTATATCAGCATGGAGTAGCGTATCTATTTGGTTACAAATGAGGCCTTTAATCGGGGGTTCCAGTCATACATTTAACGCTTTTTTTTAAAGGTAACGCTACACACATTAAAAAGAGGGTATTTGCCAATTTGTCCCTTAACCTATTTTAAGTATTATTTAAAAAAAAAAAGTCATGCAGGGTTCTGCGCAGCCCTGTGTCTCGCCTGCGGCTGTGTCTTTGTAAAAATGTT